CGGCCAGGAAAGGAACAGCCCTAAGTAGCCATATAGATGAACAGCCAGACCCGAATAATTAAAAAAGGGTCATGTGCTATTTTTAGCACGGGACTGACTGTTCGTTTCCCAAAGTCGGGCCTGCGCCAGTCCCGTTCTAAAAATAACACAGCCCCACGCTATTTTTAGCGTGGGACTGACTGTTCATCTACCGGAAACTGGGCCTGCGCCAGTCCCGTTCTAAAAATAACACAGCCCCACGCTATTTTTAGCGTGGGACTGACTGTTCATCTACCGGGAGCTGGGCCTGCGCCAGTCCCGTTCTAAAAATAGGATTGACTGTTCATATCCCGAGGTCGGGACTGCTGCTATTTTTAGCACAGGCCTGGTCTAGAGTTTGACCACAGCCCCAACCATGGGACTGCAACACTCAGCCACGATCCCTTGGCCTCTCCATTATAAAAGAGAGGCCACGTCACCCAACGAGACAGATCAGCATGCGTGGCACACGTGGCACAGATCAGACAGATCGAGAGCACGCTCACTTGCAGAATGCAGCAATGCTGGCAAAACAGCAAGTAAGAATCTCTCACACGCGGGGACGCGGAACGACTGGCGGAACATCGAGGAAGGAGAAGGGCTGAAGCTATTGCGTTAGAGCAAGTGGGAAGAGGGACGACCAAGACGTACAAGGAGGTAAAGGGAAGGGGGTTGCTCGGGGAAGTACGGCGGTCTCAGTTCTCACAAGGGCCACCTTGCTTTCTCCCTCACCTCCTCTCCTATCATCTTCTTTCTGCTCCCCTGCTCACTCTCTTCCCTTTCCTTCTTCTTGCTCGGATGTGTGAGGTCTGTCTAATCCCTCGCGAGCCCATTGGCTCATGGCACGGTTCTGATCTGTTGACCGCCCGCACGCACTGTGCCCGAGGGCAGTTGATACTGTGCGCCCTTGCTCACCATACTTAAGGGCTGATACTGTGTATTCAACTGCTCTGAGCACGAAGACTGTTAATGCTGAGTCATGCGGTGAACCCTGTCATATTCAGAGTGCTACACTTCGTTGTGTCTGGGTTGAATCTGCCAAGGATTACATGATCAATGTATCACTTCATATTTTGGACTTCGTATCAGCAAGCATTTGGCATAGTATTTGGTTGTGCCAATAGGCACTCAAACAGGGCTTGATGATTGGTTGTGCCAATGAGCACTTAAACTGAGTGATTAGCATTGCCAATAGGCACTTGAACAGAGTATGATGGTTGGATATTCGAGCCTCTTGATTCGCTGTACAAAAAAATGATTCGCTGCATAATGGTCCGACAGCGACTGTGCACACTCAAATTTAAGTGTGACATTGCGCTTTGATCTTGGGTGCCGTGTGCGCACCATGTCTAAGTACCAAGTCTGCGACAGTACCGTATCTGAGCATTCCTCAACAGTGCGCAGAGAACGCACCGTATTTGAGTATCATATCTGAGCAGTGCGCAGAGAACGCACCGTATTTGAGTCTGATATCAGAGCAGTGCACAGAGAACGCACCGTGCTTGAGTATCAT